GCTGTAGAAAATATGGTAAAGTTTCATGGGTAAAATGGTTTGAAAAAATAATTGGAAAATATTATAAAACATGAAATCAAAGCTGATAAACAACTTGAGAGAATTATCTGTTAAAAGATGAGTATCCATATCTATATTATAAGACATTAATATAGCCATTTTTGATTATTATAACTATATTGCTGTATGTGTATGATGGTAATATCAAATACTAGTAATCTAGATGTTATTAAAATTTATATGCAATATTTCAGTTGACTTATTAAGTAAACACATAAATTATCAAGAATACATTCTATGATATCATAAAAAACAGCCAAATTTTCGAACTGCATAACTATTTACGATTTATTTTATTTTCCCCTTCAATCAATAAAAAATACTTTTCTTTCCCTTATGAATGCTGTTTTGTCACTTGAACATGCAATAAAACTGGATAGATTTATCCGTACGACAAAGGCAGAGTATATTTTGTTTGATACAACCTCTTCGTTATCTATCCAGTTGATTACTCCTGATAATAGCCACTTCACAACAATAAACTTCGAGGATTCATTTTTCAGCAGTTACAACTCATTAAATAGAATTATAGGTATTCCAATGGTCACTTTTTATAGGAAAAATATGAAGGAGTTAGCTATCCTCCAGAATAAGGAATATACAGAGCTAGTTTATAAGTTTTCGGATGTTATTTATAAGAAAACCATCCAAAATTTAAAATATGATCTTTTTGAGATGGAATTTACACCCAGAGAAACTATTAGCTTGGATTTTATTTGCCTAAAAAGTATTCTAAGGTATATTAAAAGCAAATCGGTTACAATTACTCTTGGTCATAAAATTACAGTGAGGGAACCTGGGAGAGTATCAATAATCAATGATATGAGAGTCCATCATAATGAATTAGCTAAACCTACACATAGGCCAGACATAACATTAAAACTGAATACTGCTATTCTGAAGGATATACTTGGAATATCAGATTTATTTGATGATTATTGCTTAGCAATATCTGATTCAGATCAACCTATTCACATGATATTTAGAAGTGAAAGTGTATTTATCTCGAGTTTTATGTCAACTGAGTGATTGAGAATATATTCAATAATTTGTATTGTCATATGAAGAATAACTATTTGATAAATGTGGTAAACTTACCAATGTGATTGATGTTTTAATGCTTTTGGTATTTATATGAGTAAGGGATGAGAGATCATAGCTAACGTATAGCCAGTACATGAAAATAATTAACTGGTGGTTTGATGAGACCATTTAACAAAAATCCAAATTTTCACATTGATTTATTGATTAGCAATCGAATTCTACTCCATAAAGACCACGTTTTATGAGATGCTTGAGTTCTTCTGAGCGAACTCTCTCAAGAGAATTTCTAATACGCTTACCCTTACCCTTTGATTTTTCACAGACTAAGTAAATATAGTTTCCAACCTTAGCATAGATTTTGTTGCAGTCATCAATATATAAGCAAATGCACTCGCCGTGTTCTTTTTCGATCATTCTCTTAAGATAGAATAGTTTTTTTGGCTCATATAAGGCAGCTGGTGCACAACCTGAATTTGGTTTCTTAAGATCAATAATCTCCTTACAAGCAGCGTTCTTAAGAGTATACACTTGTAAATACTTTCCATTATCCTTGGCACTTATGACAAATGTCTTGATGGATGATATTTCACAGTATTTTTTACCACAAGGTGTAGCATCACAGACTTTTCTCTTGCTAACAAAGAATGGGCAGCATTCCTTTTCGATTTTACATGGTTTTGGACGGCAGATTGGTATTGGTGAGCAAACTACTGGAGGACAAATTGGTCTGACTTCACATGGTCGTCCAACTGGGCAGACTGGAGCAATTGGTCTAACCTCACATGGCTGACCAACTGGGCAGACTGGGGCAATTGGCCTCTGTGGAAGACAGCATTCCTTTGGAAGCTCTGTTGTAGCCGCTTGGGGAGCACCGATTTTGCACGATGGCTCAAAATATCTGCAGGTTTTGAATCCATCGGAACTATATCCACAAATTACCTTAAAGGTGCATCCGCATTTTTCTAAAAACAAGGCATGTTTAGGAAGAGTCAAATCTTCAGCAGAAACTACAGTACCATTGGAGTATAAGACCATATTTCCTTCATATCCATTCCATCCAGCAACCTGAGCTTTTTCAATACCACAGACTTGTAGTGTAAGAATCAAGTGTGAAAAGTTATTTGGTGTTATCTTGGCCGGGATCATATTCTTAACATCGTGTCTCTCAAGGATCTTAACATCACATGGAAGTTCCACCACGTTTGCTTGCATTGCATTTACAATACTAATAACTGAAGTCAGTAGAGTGAATAGTCTTGTTGAATTCATGCCTCATGAACAAGGTATTTATTTTATACTTTTGTTTTTCCCAAAAAAGTAGTCTATGAAATATAATTTCCCTATTTTATTGTTTAGAACATATGAAAGATGAAAGGAGACACGTCATTTAATTTCTGATATGTTGTAAGCAAAACAAGGTGAATATCAGCTTTATCTAAAGGTATACCAATATTGATTAATTTTAAAAATTTAACCTTTAATTTAATAGTTTTTAGTTAGACCTAAAATTACATATTGGGCATAATAAATATTATTACAGAGCATATTCACTAAATTAGTTATATATTTATTCTAAATTCAATGTTGTCACAACAAATGAAAAAGAGTTTAGAATATCCTGGATAGCTTGTAATAATTAGGACTTAAATTTTATTAATAAAAAAGCAAATTATAATATTAATCTAAAGCATATATTGCTTGGTGAGTTTTCATATTTTTAATATTAAACCTCTCGACATTTCTCACTTTAAAATATCAATGTTTTAAAAGTCATTGGAGATTTTTTCTAAGAAATCACCGATCATATACCTGTGCCTTACTATATTCTGATATTTCGATTCAAAACATACAAGTTTGTACAAGGTGTTAAACCATAAAATACTATTTGATTGTAACAATTTAAATATTTTTGTATCGATTTATTTGATAAATTTTGTGTTAAAGTTTTTGATTTCGAAATTATTTTCTGATTATATATTAAGATATTATATTAATTCGATAGCAGTAGTTCATATTGACTCTTATAATATATTAAAATGGCAATTGTTTAAAACAACAAACCTGCAATTTGATGATAAATATTTTCTCGCATGACTCATACTTAGCATAAATCAATACTTGCCCAACAACTTTTTTGTTTGATTAATTATTTTTTGGTATGCAAAATATTTTATACTACACCCCCTCAATGCTTAAAGCACTTTTTCATCAAATTGTCGCAGTCAAACAAACAAACAATTGTTTACTTGACATAAACAATCTAAACAGCCACATTAAGCAAATCATAAGCCCCATCCAATTTAGTATGCTAACCTTTAACAAAATATCCACTCAAAATATCCCAGAAGAGGAATTGCATTGTGATTCTAAGGGTTTTCCTACTCAAAACTCTATATTAGAATTTCTAGAAACCAAAGCAAAGGTGATTGAGGAGGATGATGAGGTTGAAGTAGATATATTATGTAATGAAGGCCCCAGTCAAATCACACTTGGTAGATATACAAAAGAAATGTCCCTACCTGGCACTATGGAGCCTACTGTAACAACTATCAAAGATATTACCAATATCAATACTCACACAGATGTTAGTACCCTATTTGATAATGAAAGTAGTCAAGCAATTAATATCACTGGCCATACCAAAAACATTAACTTTACAAGAGCTGTTAATTCGTTCAATATTCCAGAACCAAAGCTTAAATATTTCCAACAAACTGATAAAAGTACCCAAGAAGCTCAACAACTAGTGAGCCAAGAAGGTTCAAAACATACAAGCCCTAAGAATATCTTTAGTCGCAAGTTCATTGAATCATCAAACAACGAAGAGAAGATCTTCTTTAACAATAAGAGAATAGCATTGTACAAGACAGAAATGTGTAGAAGCTTTTCAGAAGTAGGCCATTGCAAATATGGAGATAGATGCCAGTTTTCCCATTCTAATGTGGAACTAAGGGATGTATCAAGACACCCAAAATATAAAACAGAAACTTGTCGGGTTTTTTGGGAGCAAGGAACTTGTCCTTATGGAAGAAGATGCTGCTTTGTTCACTATGAAAACTCGGAGCTAAATAAGAGATTCGAACCTGGAAATAATTCTCAAGATACTCAGCAGTTGATGGAAGCTGATGAAGGTGAAAGGATAGATAATGATAGTTTAATGTTTTCAAATGATCCTAAATATAAATGTGCATTCAAATTGGAGAATGTGGAATCAATAAATGAAGACGAGTGTGAAACAGAAAAAATGTTTCCTGCTGATGGTAGAGAAAATATTGACCTAGAATTTTCAACTATTACAGTCAATTCTATTCAAAGTATGTGCTCTGATCTATCAAAAAAGTTATATTTTCCTAAAAGTGACACTGAAAGATGTATATCTACTTCTGAAAATTCAATATCAGAAAGCTGTGAAATTAAATGTTTAGATATAATCGATAATGATATACCAAGTCATACCTTGGATGAGTCCTTTAAGAATAATGAGAAATTTAATATATTTGGATCATTATACAGCAATCTAATGCAAATGTCGGAATTGAATTCAATTGACCATTTTGCCTCACATAAAGTGAATTGTGCTTTTAAGCCAAAGTTTCATAAAAATACCGAAAAGTTTAAAAGTGTTTGGGAAATGAATGCCATAAGGACTTGGGTTCAAAATCCGATTAATTATATTGCTAAAAAATCAAATTGTAAGATAAATTATGTAAATGAAGAATAAATATTCAAAATCTAGATGAAGTTTTTCACATCCATCTTATTACTTAGTGCACACTATAATGTGATTGAGTCTTATGCCATAAATAGCTGTGTAACGGAACTTGGCCTGAAGATGGTGATTGTATTTATCAAATGTAAAAACACAATTTTTTAAAATACTTAGTTTTGCAATCAATTTATTCACTGTTGGAGCTATCCATCAATTCTTCTAAAAGTGTTATCATCTCTCCAGTGTTTTGAAGATAATAGTCAGCCTTTGTATCATCTTTTCCAACTTTGATTGTGATATTCCTCGAATGTTCAAACATGTCTTCGTCAGTTAAATCATCACCTGCCACAACTCCTGGATTGATCTTATCAACAATTTTACCTTTGGAACCTAGTTTCACTTCAACTACCTTTTTACCTGCACTAACCATAAACCCCATAATTGCCCCCAATTTACTGAGTTCGCAATACATCAATTGAATAATTTTATCAATATTCCCGCATTGTCTATAATGAAATGCTGCACCGCAGCTCTTCTCCTCAACTGACGAATTTGGTGTACGTTTTCTATAATAATTCATAATGTCCAGAACTGTCGTTTTAAAATCCTCCTGTTGTTTATCGATTGCTTTTATATCATCCCATATCCCATCCTTTCTATGCATAGCACCATGTTCTGCATAACACTCTACCTCCATAGGAAACCATTCATCAACCTTTTCACAAGATCTACCCGTACAAATAATAATTTCTGGATGTTTTTTAAGAAGACTTAAAACTCTGGATGTAGGTATAGCCATATCAGGTTTCTTCTCCAACTCTGCCAAAGTACCATCATAATCTGCAAGAATACTCTTATTTCCATTCTTATACTTTTTTTTGAATTCAGCCAGCATAATCGATGGTTCACTTATAGTTGTGGAATGACCTTCATCTGTCTTTACCAACACTATTTTCGTGGCTGGAGACATTGGCTTAGTGATTCTTTTATTGTTGCTGCACTCCATAACATGCTTATCAATCCCTTTAATAGATGATAAAGCTTCATTGTAGAAATCATCCGAATTATAACTGAATTCGTTGAACGCTTCACGGTCCATCGATGATTCATCTGTGAATTCAGTAATTTTGTCCTTAATGTTCTTGTATATTTCCATATCATCATGTTCATGGTATTTGTGAGCTAACAGATTTTCACTTGAACTGATATTGGTTTGGGCCATCAATTCCATAAGCTCTGCCATATCCCTGCCAGAAGTGTTTCTAACAGTAATATTGTTATCTTTTTGTATGTATTCTGTACTTCTCTTAAGGTTTTGGGTACTAAGTGATTTCTCTATTTGATTTGTCTTAATAAATTGCATCTTTTTAATTAATTTTCCTAATTTTTCATCTATTTCATCATTTTCAGATTCCTGAATTGCATCATAACCACATTTTTCCATAAAAAGTCCAACATATTCACCTTCACTAAAAGTATAGGCGTTTCGTTGATATTTCAGGTTATTTTGTCCCGATAATCTTTGGGAAATTCTTTTTGCCAATTGCCATGCATTAGAAACAAATCCACAGTCTTTGCCAAATAGCCTTGCGAGTGGCATATGCTCTGTTCCAATATATGCTACTGAAAGCATCATTTGAATAATAACCTCATGTAAATTATCCAATATCTCAATTTTTACGCCATATGTCTTTTTTAAATACTGAAGCATTCTGTCATGCTCAATATTGAAATCTAAATCAAGTCTAGCATATTTTATAGAAACATTTCTATTGCTTCGAATTGTAGGTTCCAAAATCAACAAATCTCCATCACATATAATTGTTGGATGTAATTCTTCCATAGCTGATGAAGCATATTCCAATAGTTCCATACTGTAGCATGTATCGTTTTTAGAAGAGGTTTGCTGTGGTTCATCACACAATACCTCATTTTTGATCTGATTCAGAGGCATATCCAGCCCAATATTTCTATTAGTTCCATTTTCTGTAGTTTGATCACATGCATTTAGAATATTGTCAGTAGGATCCATGTACATTGAACTGCTCATAAGTGAGTTCATATGCTCTAAAACGTGTATTACATCCAGCTTATCAATGTAGGGTTCTAAATAATGACACCCTCCAACAGCTGACATTCTATACCTATATGATGTGGAAATAAACTTTTGGAAACTTTTATAGTCATTCATTGTTTTGAAAAACTTGACTGCTTTGAAAAGACTTTCCATAATCTCATTTGAGTATGGCAGTCGATTTATAAAAAACCCATCAAACTTCAAATTCCTGATCGCAACCTTGCAATTTACCATGGACGGCAACAATAAAAGCAAAGAATCATTTACGATGACTAGATCCTCTTTATTACATTGATTATTTATCTCTTCTGCGATTTGATGATTGTATCTAAAATACTTATCAAATATTGATTTTGAATTTGCCAAATTATCAATTCCAAAGCTTATCTTTCTCATTAGCTTGTTATATAGCATCTCATACTTTAAGTTACCACCTGTATCTATATACTTAATGTTGTAAATTGATTCAAACTCTTTCGATTTCAATATCTTATCTGAATAAAGTGTTTGAATTTTTGATGAAGCATTTTCAGATGGTTTAAGCTTTAGCTCATTTGTGGAGTGATTTCTTGAGACATAGAATATTTTCATACCCCTTAAAATAAATTATTTATTTATACCCATATCAACCAACTAAAAAATAAATAATTTTGATTAACTCAATACGTCACTATGTAACAAAAAAGGATTTATTACAGGGGATTCCCAGCAAATCAATTTATACAGTGTGGAACAATGCTATATGCATAGAATTATCTATACTTGGATACAAAATAATTATCTAATGCCACACACTTCAATAAATACTTTGTCCATAGCCACGTGTAATATCACAAATTTATTTTCCAGGACATGTATATTGGAGGTTAGTATTATATTTATTGTGCCTAATAAAATTTTGTATCTATTTATTTAAAAGATTAATATTATTAGTATCTCTCTACTGCTTATGAACATTTCTGGAACTCAACTAGTTAGTCAATGTGATATCTAAAAACAGTATTACTTTATTAGTATAGCCAGAAAAAAATTTAAGTGCTTGTATTAAAATATTGAATTGCCTGACGTATTTGAATCACTATCGCGATCCTCTGAAATATTTATAGATATAGAACTTGATACCAACGTATTTGTTTCAGAACTATATTCTAATTTACTATTTGAATTATCCGAAACTGTTTGAGAAGCAGCTGTAGAATAATGTTCTGGTGGAGATATGCCAGCAGGCTCCATTATTCTCGGTATATCTCGACTATTAACCGAATGATTGATTTTATTCCCGTTGTTATCAGCAACTTCCTCTGAACTGTTCGTCTCTACCATTACCTTCTCATTCATACCAACTCCTGATTCTTTATTTTCATATACTTTAGATTTTAATGATTGATTTTTTATTTCTTTTTTGAATTTTAATACATCAGGGATAACCGCTCTATATTCTTTGTCATTTACAGTGAATTGGAGGGTATTATCATCACTATGTTTGAATATATTTGGCTTAAGTGTGAAGTTAAGTAGAACTGTTGGAATCCCCTCTCGAACAAATATAACTCGCCCTTCTTTTATATATATAGTACCCATACCAAAATCCAGCCATTCATCAGAATCTAAATATGTTATGGAAGCATTAAAGCATGCCTGTTCAATACTTTGCTGAGAATTATTACCTGTGAATTTTTTGGCCTGACTCTGATTATCTTCACAAATTTCAGACGGGCTTACTTTTTTTAAGAACATACAACTTGTATTTTTCTTTTCAATTCCGCCCTCATTAAAAATATTCCCATTGGAATTATTACTGACCAATAGTTCGTCTAAGGGATTTTTTGGAATGAAAATATTGCTCTTAAATTTCTTATTCTGGCCATCCCAACTATCATTCTTATGTTCTGGCAAATTACCTATGTCCTGAGCAGTATTTTCTATGGCAGGAGTATCAGTCCTATCTTCTACAGTTACTTCATTATCCTCTAATGATTTGCCGTGCTCTTTAATTTCTTCAGCAGTCATGAAGGGGTCGAAACAGTGAAGAATGAGAACAAATTACCAATCAAAAATAAAATTAATAAGATTTGAAATAAACATAGGTTTATCTAGTCTTGTCAATTACATTATTGTCCGAATTTATTTATATTTTTAGAAAGAGTTTCAATTTCTGTGCAGAGTGATTCAATTTGTTTTATATCCACATCGAATTCTTTGAATTTTTCAAGAAGAATATCCAGTCTCAAATCAATTTCTTTTGCTGTAATGCTCATAAAGAGGGCATCACAGTAAAAGAAATTTATTGAAAAATATTTAGTTTGAGAATAATCATGTATATCACAAGTGAGGGAGATAAAGTTATTGATATAACATTTTGGGTTTTTTACGAAATAATTTTCGTGAAACAATACCATTATCAATAATCAAACTGATTACCGAAAGTCTTAAGAACTTCTATGGCATTAAAATCCTGTTCATTATAATAAGCCATGTAGAAACATATTTTTAAAGAAAACAATATACTTGTATTAATAGAAAATTAACTGACTGTTGTCCATAAAATTTAATCTTTACTAACTCAAACTGCATTCTCAGTGATACATTCAAATATCATTTCAGTACCTGATATTATGATTTCTGGTGCAATATCTAAGTGAATAGTAGTTATACTATTTATAGTACATCCTACTAATGCATCCAATACCGAATTATAAATTGATTTCTTTAATGACTTTTCTATTGTCACAGTCCTGTTGTCCATTCTAGGTTTATTACTGCTATTTTTAATTCTTGTTTGAGTAAAATTTCTTTCAGTATTCCCATGCTCGATTGAGGTATTATTTTCTTCACAGTTGATCTCTCTGGAATCATTTCCATTATTCTGTATCTTAATATTTGGTAATCTTACGCAATTTTTTTCATTTATGTTTGTAGTAAATAAAGGCTTTGGATTTTGTTGCTGGATCAATGATATATTGTGGTTTTCTTGTTCCTTATCATTGGAATTGATATCAAAATTGTTGTAATTTACCCTTTGATCTTGAGTAATGAGAAGTTTATCACCCGCTTTAGAACTGTTTTGTGATGTCAAAAGCACTTTATTGTTCACATAAGATGAATCAGATTGAATGGGCATAGCACAACTAATATCAAGAGGAATCATATCATTTAGGTTTATACTTGATTCTTGAGGATCAAAGGTTAATTTGTGGAACCCTGTATGATTTTTGGTGGAAATTAATCTACTACTAACATTTAAATGTATACTTACGACAAGTTCTCTGTCAACTTCCAAAGGTAGATGCTTCTGTTGATTTTTCCAAATAATATATGTAAAGTTCATATGTTTTGTTTCATTGTATCCACTTTCAAACAAATCACTTCCTAAATTATCAGATCTGTGAGCATTTATATTGTAGAGATTTTCGACTTCAGACTCATTAGTATCACTAGTTTTTAGACCAAAATATCTTTCTGGTGCTTCTGCTGTCACATACTTATCAGAATTTATTTTTGACGAATCAATATCGAGGTTCAAAACTGGATTTTGATCATCTTGAATAATTTCATTCGAATCATTTTTTACTGTTAATTCATCAAATATATTTTCTGGAGGGTTGTTATCCATACCCAACAAGGTCTTTGTCTTCTTTCGATCCCAATGAAGTTGATAAGTCAATGCTGATGGAAGAATCTTGATCATCAAGAGTTGGCAAATCACTTAATTCTGAATCCCATTGCATATTAAATGATCCATGGACCATTGGAATGATGGGATTATGACTAGAGTCACAGTCAGACTGCATAGTTATACAAGGAATAATTTTCTCTTCATCACCTGACAATTGTGGTCTGTTAACAAAATATGCTTCCTGTTCTTCAAACACGATTTCATACTCTGGATCGTCTCCTGTATTGTTAAATCCATTATTTGAATTTTTCATTATGTAGTTACTTGAATCATCTATATATGAGGAATTCCCATCCAAAAATTGATAACCAAGCAGTAGGGTTATTGCCAATAGCAGCAATATTAATAGCACCATCCATTTATATCTTCTGTTGTCCTTCTTCATTTCTACTTAGGGATTAAAAATCAAACTGTCAAAATTGTGATTTTTAATCAGAAGTTAATTAAAAACTACAATTGGTTGATTTTAAGCAGAAACTCAAAGAAAAGT